ATACAGAGCTGGTAGGTGTTTTTCTTATTTATCATTATTTGGAATCAAATGTTTTGTTCCTAGTATTTTATTAGTGCTGCTTAAACATGAGTTTAAACATATCTACATCACTGAAGAGCTACAAGGAAAGCTGTGGCTCCACCCAAAGTGTGCATTTTCAGCATGTTTAGTTTATCAAGTGTGGTGTCACTTGTGTCAATTAATAGATTGCCACTTTACCAACGAGAGAATGTCACTGGCCTGTAACCACATAACCATATACCCAACCCACTTATGTGCATGTTTTTTTATTGGCCAACATGCATGTGTCTGTATGTGATTGGTTGGTTGTAATATTTACAACCCCAAATGAGAAAACAGATACAGTATATAAAATCAAAATTCAAACTGAAAGTAGTGATTTGTAAATCATCTGTGTACTGTATTACATTGAAAACAATACAGCAGCACATTATATGATGTGATGCCTCAAGTTTTATTCTTTGTTCAAAGTAAACATTTTCAAAAAAAGTTGGGGCTTTCAGGACTGGTAATGAGGTAAAACAATGAAATGATAATTCCATTTGAAACAAGTGATGTCAACAGGTGGTTGCAATTATGGTTTGGCACAAAAGTGGCATCCAGGAAAGGCCGAGCCCTTTAGGAGCAAAGATGAGCCAAGGACCACCAGTCTGCCAACATATGGGTGAGAAAATTATTGAAACATTTAAAAACAATGTTCCTCACAGAGAGATAGGAAGGGATTTGGATCTGTCTCCCTCTACATTGCAGAACATAATTACAAGATTCAAGGAATCTGGAGGGATTTTAGTGTTTATAAAGGACAAGGATGCAAGCTTAAGCTGGATGACCGTGCTCTCCGATCCCTCAGACGGCATTGCAGCAAGAATCGCCACTCTTCTATAAGTGATATAACCTCATGGGTTCAGGATTACTTTGGCACACCTGTGTCAGGCACTACAATATATAGTTACATCCATAAATGCTGTTTAAAACTATACTGTGCCAAAAAGAACCCCTATGTCAAAGGTATCCAGAAGCGCAGTCAACTGCTCTGGGCTCGGAGGCATCTAGGATGGACCATCACACAGTGGAAATGTGTAATGTGGTCAGACGAATCGGTATTTCAGGTCTTTTTTTTGGAAGGAGTGGTAAATGCTATGCTGTCCCAACTTTGTTTGGAATGTGTTGCAGGTATCAAAATTGAAGTGAGTCTTTATTTTGAACAAAGAATAAAATTGATGGTGTCACATCAAATACTGTGCTGCTGTGTTGTTTTGTAATACAGGACACAGATGATTTACAAATCACTATTATCTGTTTTAACTTTGATTTTACATGCTGTCTCAAATTTTTTTGATTTGGGGTTGTATTCTATATTTGTGCTACTTAAATGACTTTTCTACATGCTTTCAACAGACCATGACAAAGACTATACATTGAAACGTGTTGGACTTAACATTAAAGTTACTCTATACCTGCAAGTGTTGTTGGACTTTTTGCCCTTACAGTTAGTTCTTCCCTGGTCGTACCTTGGCAGTGGGTGAAATTGTGCCAGATATTTCTGCTTTCCCATCAATATTTGGAATCAAATGTTTCGTTCCTGTTATTTTATTAGTGCTGCTTACACATTTTATTACTGTTACCTCATCTTTGGAAACGATCTTTTTTTTAATAACATTACAGTAAATGTACTGTGATGCCTGTCTTACCTCCAAAGAGATCTTTCCAAACCATGCAAAGAATGAGCTATATATAGACCGGGCGTAGCCAGGAATATTCCTAATAAGAATGAAAGCCAAGATCTATACACAAGAGAAAAGAAAAGACATTTTGTGAGAGTCAAAGCATGAAGACACACAGACACATTGGGTGCATTATGAGATTCTAAGCATTTGAGGTTATGGTCTGAACCTGAACCCTCAGGTTAGGAAAGACTCAGCCAAATGAGGGTAGAAAAATCTGAAATCTCGCCCTGTTTCAGGGAAGAAAGTTAAACTATACTACCAGTGACCTTATCTGTTCCCAGAGGGGAATACCAAATCTATCTTGAGCCATTAAAGGTAGCAAATTCCTTGATATTACTCTCATATTATTCTGTCATATTTAGGATAATGACATCTCAAGTCAATTCCAAAAATAAGTACAACTATGAAACAATAGTTACAGTAACTGAGACACCGCAGTAAGACACCAGCTGGACTGATAACATTAGATAGAAACAGAACAAACAGAAAATGAGAAAGACAAACTTAGAGACAAATACTGTACCTGAAACACAGAGATGTAAGGATGCATCTCATTGCACTCTGTTTTGGTTTTGCAGCTGCTGGCCCATATTGAGTAAGTCTAGAATGAAAAGGACAAGTTGGGAAACAGCTTTTAATCTTCAGTTGCAACAGAAACAGTTCCCTGATGTGTGCAAACCTTGTGGCCATTTACAAATCACTCATATCAGTCAATTTTTTCCCTGACTTACAGTCAGGGAAAAATTATTTGAACCCCAGCTGATTTTGTAAGTTTGCCCACTAACAAAGAAATGATCAGTCTACAATGTCAATGGTAGGTTTATGTGAACAGTGAGAGACACAACAATAACAAAAAAA